GCAAGGAAGTCTTAGGTTGGACTTTGGGAGAACTTTCTGAACAAAACAATAGTGAAGCACCAGTAAACCTTGCAGAAAAAGACTGTAAAATCTGTCACTGGAGGGTTTTAGCAACAGGTTAAAAAAACATTTGTTGGTAATCCCTTACAGATAGTTGATTGTGCTGTGGGATAAAAGGAAATTTTCTTGTCCTTACAGACTTATTTTCTTTTGTTTCCATTTTTGTCCAATCTTTAGAAAAATGTATTTATTCTTAGTATGATCATTCAATGAGAAGTCTTTTATGTATTTTTTGTACAAAAGCCCGTTTACTACCAATGTAATAGAAATGTCAGTTTGCTTTGCCCCCTTTTCACACAAGTAGCTTTAATTCTAAATTAGGAAAACTCTAAAGCAAACATTTTTTGAATAATAATAAAGATTACATAATAGTCTTTGATGGTTGGGTAGGAATAGAAAGAGCAATCTATAAAAAGAAATGCTGCTGCAAATCATAACTCTGTGTGGAACACACTTATTCAAGCATTGCAACAAAACCGTCACCTGTGCTTTATTTAGAAACAGGCATTTCCAAGTGAATTCAAGGCTGCGTTTGTCAAACCTCTTCCTGACTTTTCTGCTCCTCCTTTCATTCTGATCAATGAAGGCTTAATACTGATGTGCTGGGGGTGCCACCTCCTAGCTCCTGTTCTGCAGTAAAACCCAATGCCCTTCCAAATACTTCAGCAGAAAAAAAAGCTACTTACCTTATAAAAACTAATGGATTGAAGAGCAACAGGAAGGAATTCCCATCTAAATGCAAATCAAGGCAAACCCATTTTGAATGCAAAAGTAAACTAGAAATGGTAATTTTCCCACCATTTGCTAGTGCTCCTTCCTACAATTACAGTTCTCTGCAACTCAGTAGTTAACAGCTCTTCTCCTGATGAGCTGTCAATGAACAACTTAGATTTTTTCCAAGTGTATGTCATAGATATGCTTATTCTGTTGCAATCTGTTTGTGCAGAATTAATTTTAAACACTTACTGCTTAGTTTTGGTTTAATTTAGTCTGGTTCATGAAGTGAAAAAGCTGGAAATTATCAGGAATAAAAGGTTTCATGTGCTGGTTAAACTGAAAATTAAACACCTACTTGTTTTCTGCTAGAGTGTGATAACTGATATCAGTCCACTGAGAACATTAGAATCCATGAGGCTGAGATAAGATCCTATCTTGGATCCTTTCTGCTTTTAAGAATGCTAACTGCATGGTGCAAAGGCTGGCTGTAGTGGGGCATCTGTGAGCCCATCAGGTGGTGACAGACCATGGGCAGTCCCAGTGAAGAGCTCTGGGCCTGGTTCTGATATAAAGTCCTTCTTACCTTGAAAAACTCATAATGAACACAGCACCTATGCAGGAATTGTAGTTGCTAAGAATTTATTCTAAGAAACCTCTGTTCCAGCACCAACCAAACTAGTGAAGAAGGGGATGCCTCATACAAAACACTGGATTCTAATTTTTCTTCCTGTACTGGAAGGAATGCAATAAAATTTGCTCATCTTAAAAGGCCTTTGAAATACTAAATGCTATAATCATGTCAGTGTGTAGCATATATAAAGGAAGGTAGTGACAAGTCAGAGATTACAATTCGTTTAGAACACAGTAATCAAATCCAGTAATAAACGCTGGCATTGTCAATGTATGCTGTACTGGCGTCATGTGTTTTCCACTGGATCCTTACTGGAGTCACTTGGTGCTCTGTCCCTAGTCTGCAAGGCTGAAATTAGAGACACAACTATGTAGTGACAGGACAAGGGGGAATGGTTTTAAACTGAAAGGGGTAGATTTAGATTAGATATTAAGAAGAAATTCCTTACTGTGAGGGTGGTGAGGCCCTGGCACAGGTTTTCCAGAGAAGCTGTGGCTGTCCCATACCTGGCAGTGTTCAAGGGCAGGTTGGACGGGGCTTGGAGCAACCTGATCTAGTGGAAGGTGTCCCTACCCATGGCAGGGGGGTTGGAATGATTTTCAAGGTCCCTTCCAACTCTAACCATTCTATGATTCTGTGAACTATCCTGCAACAGCTAGGAAGCGATGGAGCAAGTTTATATATTCCGTGTGAATTTCTAGGACTGTACAGTGAGGCTGATAATGGCTCTAACAATTTTGTTTTAAAACAGCTCAGATAGAGTTTGCCTTTTGGTAAGAACTGTGCATTTAAAGCATTTTTTTTCTTCATCCCAGTATAATCAGAATATGACTCGCCCAGGGGTCCTAATCAGGAGTCTTTCAACATGGAATATAGAACAACTACATATTGCTTTTATATTTTATAACTAGGAACTAGCCTTCCACTGCTGGTATCCTCCCTGCATGATAAACATAACATATTATATTAATTATATTAACATATTATACTAATTTATATTATAAAAATACATTATAAAGCCCATATTATATTAATTACTTTACAGAGTTAATTATTAGTGATGAGCAGTCGCAGTTGGGGATCTTTAGTAGATTAAATGGATAACATAAATGGAGCAACAATCAAATTTAGCCAAATCCTTTTTGAAAAAAAAAAAAAAGAGAGAGAGGAATATAGGAGCGCATTCAGCACTAGGAAAGATAATGTAACTGCTACATCTTCATTGCAGTTAGAGTACTGAGTGTTGAAATCTGTTTACCCTGAAGATGCGTGAACTGAATGTGTAGAGTGATTTCACATTTTTAGTGGAGAGCCCTTCAGAAATATTTTTGTATGGAAATGAATTTGCAATTTAATCCCAGTTAATCCCAATTAACTGATTTATTGAGAAACAGGATAGAGTTACAGATCTTCCTTTGATCTAACACCAGGATCAGAGAACCTGCCTTACACAGCGTCCTGTAGCACTTCCCTTTGGGAAAATAAAAAAATAGAATTGTGACAGAAGAGTCAAGCATTTCTAAAAAATAAACTTCAAAGGAATTAAAATACCAAGGAATTAAAATATCCCCAGCTAAATTCTTACAGAGAAGTCAAGACAGAAGTGGAGAAGAGGCAGGATTTGCTTACATAACCTGTAATCTCTAGCTGTGTGTCTGATCCCATATCACTCTGCAACTCAGATAAGGCAGAGTTTTGAGTCATGGATATCGAAGACATTCCCTACATAAATCTTTGTGGCCAATAATAATTCCTCAGATTACTTGTGTAGAATATAGGTGGAGTCCAAATCATCCATTATCAGTGTGACATGCTATTAATCAAACAGTCCAACATTTAAATTCTGTCCTTTTGAACACAAAGTTCAAAAAAGTTAAGTACTTGTGAGGAACTAACCTGGGTTTGTTAAGAATACTGATGTTACAAGCGTGTTACCTGATTCTGCAAATACAGGGATGCCACTTATTTTTTATCTTTTTCCAGTTTTAAAGTGTTCTTGTCTTAACTGTTTGTTATTGTATATACTTGAAAAGATACACTTTAGCTGTTCTCACACATATGCTTGAGTCTCTTTGAAATAGGACCTACCTCTTACCACACTGAGGGGCACAGTTATGGGCAAGGGGAAATTATTGCTGGAGAGAGCTGTAGTAATCAGGTAATAAGCATGGTTACAGTAGATATTCTGTTGTGACAATTGTACATTAAAAAAAAACCCCGAAGAACAGATCAAGATAATACAAATGGTAAAACCAGGTAAACATCCACTAATTTAATGGAAAAGAAGAGAAAGTGTGAGCCCCACATTTACTGGGGTCTTGATTCACTACCATTGGCTATGGATTATTTGTGTTAAAGTTATGCACTTACTTACTTCAGCTGGATTGAGGCCAGAGTACTGATGAGTAATCTGCAGAACAGAGGCCACTGAGAACAATACATTTTTAAAAATACTCAGAGCCAAATCTGATTTAAATAAACACATTTACTATACACCATTTCCCTTTCTTCATCTTAGTGTTATATTTCAAAGCCTCAGTCATGGGTAGTAACTTCACTGTGCAAACTTAATTACACCAGCTTTCGATGTCGATACTTTTTGAACTTAAAATGAAACACCTTTTCCCTAACAAAGCCTGAAGTTAATTGATACTGCACTTCAGGCTTGAGTAAGCTTTGTGAAATTCTAGTAACCTATTAGTAGCTACCGTTGAAATGTACTTCTCATGATCATCAGCAGTTTTTAAAGGGTGGAAGCAGATCTGTTGAGCCCAGACATTAGCAGGATGATGCAGGTCAAAGTTACAGGGGTGGTTTACTGAAAAATAGAGACAACCTTCAGCTCAGAGCTGAATCACCCATAATCTCAACAAAACTTCTTAAAGAACTTTGCATAGACCTAGACTGAACAAATAACTCACATCGTGGCACAAGCTGCACTAAGAATTGGGTAACTGAAGAATAAACATGGAGCAAATGATCTGTGTTATAGGTGATCATTTTCTGCAGAGCTTATCATGACTAAGGTTCTCAATACTCAATAGGACTCCAGAAGGAGAATTAGAAGGCTATCTCAAAGAGGCAGGCAAAGATGATGAAGTATTTTTCAGAGCAGTTCTTGGAGGACTTTAAACACCAAAGAAGCACTTCCTCATAGCACTTGGGGCTTGTGTGTTTGCACTAGGTTTCATACCCACCCCACAGCTGAAATGCCATCAGTGGCCCCACTAAAGCTTGTGAATTCTGTTATCTCAGAGTAGCTGCTATTACTATATAGACAAACCAATATGTTAATAAACTTCCCTCAACACAGAGCCTACAACTGACCTGTAATCTCCAATAAATTGATTTTTGACAAAAAGCTGGTTTTGAGATGGCACTGAATTTGCACAGCTTGAGGAACATAACCCTCTTCCAGAATTACTTCCAGATTTACTCCTGATCACTTCAGACCTAATTTTTGTGTACTGCTTCTTTTTTACTGTTATACACAAAAATCTGCAGTGAGAGCAACATTCAATGGATATCTTCCTTCTGGCATGCATGTTTTCACTTCTGACAGCCTCCTAACTATATCCCTCCATCATTTCAGGTACACTACAGGTGAAACCAGATAGTCCACTCTACTGGTTCTGTGGTTTGACACTGTCTGGAATGACTGAAGCAAGGACTGTGCTAAGCAAGAAGCATATCAGGTGTCTGAGCTAAATGTTTTATGGATACAAACAATATCATAAAAGGACATGGAAATACTGGTAAGGCTTTTCCCTGTATTCCAGGAACTAGAACTGAACAAAATTTAGATTAGTTCCATGCTAAGGGCCAGGGATACACCTCCAGCAAGCCTGCTACCATTCTGAATTTACTGCAGAGGTTGTGGAGATGGATGTATAAAAGTGTATTCATGGACAGTGGATGCTTATAGCGTGGATATGGCAAACACTGGGTTTATAAGTGGGTAAACTTGGAGATTGTAGTTAAATGTCTGCCAAAAGCTGAAATTATTTCTTGACATGCTTCTCTAGGGCTCAGAAGAGCAGCCTACTTTACAGTGATCTTCTGTGTAAATCTTGATGTTGTCTGAAAATGTCATAGCTCCCTACACACAATTACATTCTGCAGTGTAAAAGCCTGTTGCTACAAACTTTAAACACAACACATGCTGTCTATGCTTAACTCATCTTAAGCCACTTGCAGCTGCTGTTCAAAAACTACCTGGGTTATGTAGAACTTTTTAATGTATCTATCATCAGAACATCTCTTTGACCTAGAGTAGTTTAACCCTATTTTTTCATAAACAGCAAACCAAGGCACTGGGAGACCAAGTGATTTAGAGTTGCACAAGTGATCTCTGGTAGGGCAGATGGTTGCAGCCAGCTTTCCCTGATCTCCAAAGCTACTCGCACTATATTTTTCTCCTTTTTAAACTTTTTTTCTCCTTAATGATTCTGCAGCTGAAACACTCTGAATTCCAAGATTTCTTCTCTAAAACAGCAGCAGCCAAATGCTAGAGGGCATGAGAAAAAGAAAGAAGGTTGAGGAGAGCATCTTTTTCTTCAAAATGTAACCTTTGTACATGTAAAATCTTGGATGATGGAAGAAACTACTTGGTGACCAGTTTGCATTATGTCCTTTGGTACGATAGCCATGCTTGATGGCATCTTGCTGTCTTTTTCAGGAAGACATATTCCAGGAAAGAAAGTTGTGCACTTTTTGTGGAAACTATTCCTTACAGTACTCCCTAAGAAATCAGCTTTGGCAGCCTCCTGTCCCTGTGTGCAACAGGTCTGTTGGGATGCAATCTTGTGCGGCCATTACAAGCATACTTAAGGAAAAGGGGTAGGAGAGGAATCTGTGGTCTTCTTTCATAAGCCATGTCTTCATAAATAGCTGTTTCCAAACCACTAATGTTTCCAAGTAAATACAATCCCAACACCCAAAGCTTGAAAGGCCAAACACACAACAGCAGGCAGATAGCAATCTTGCAGCTGCTGCTCTCCCTGCCACTTGGTGATTATCAATTTTCCATTGTTGCCTGGAGCTCTCTTCTTTTCTGATTCCCAAACTCTTTCCCTCACTTTCTTTTCTGAACCTTTATTGTTTTCCCCAACTCTTTTTTCCACCCTCTGTCTGTTCATCTTTCTTCCTCATCTTCAGTACTTGAGCTAGTAATTTGTGTTTTAAAAGAAGACCCATACTCAGCAAAGTGTCTTGGCATGCACATAGCTTTAAGTGCTCTAGTACTGTTGACTCCAACAGGACTACCAATATACTTAAAATTAACCACACATTTAAGTGCTTTCTTGGATCAAGGCCATCATCACAATGACATTAACCAAAACAAAACGGGACTTGAGATTCAGCAACATAAATACATAGCAATGTCAACTAAACTCAGTGCTGTAACCTTCAGGTTACCTTCCTTCAATGCCTTCTGTCATTGCTAGCTATGTTATGGCTACACTTAAAATCTATTCTGCAAGCATAGACTGGAAATGGTGCTTAGGAACAATCCTGTTTAAGCCAATACATTCTTACAGTTTCAGAATTTGCCTAGCCTGTTTTGCTAGATCAGGCTCTTGGACAATAAGGTCCTCAGGGCAAGAATCATGTTTATTTTTCTGCTTGAATCATGTGTGCTCATATACCACAAAATAGCAATTAGTTCCTTTTTGTTCTGAGGTACAAGGAAGTAACACAAATAATAACACAAATGCCCTGGCTTGTGCTGTTGTAAGTGAGAAAGTTTGACAGAGAAATATTTCAGAAGTCTAAGCTTTTAACCTTATCACTGGCAATTTACTGTACCCTAAACTTGAAAAAAGACTAAATTAAAAACATCCCCTCTTGAATTCTGCCCCCTCCCCTTTTGCTGACCTGCCTCTGTTACCTTTTCTCTTTTATTCTTCGTTGATTACTTCGCGGGTTTACACTTCAGCTTGTAAGCCCCATATAGTAGGAGCCTTGCCCTTTGTTAATCATGAAATAAGATTATGCGTACCTTGGGCACTGCACAAATCATTATTGTCTTCCTACAGATGTCTTCCACATGGCCCCGCCCTCAGTTCCAGCTGAGAGTGCTGTTGTGAACAAGCTCAAAGAATAAATATTTTGCATTCATTTCACCAGCACAATGGAAACATTTTTCCAAGCTGTTGCCAAGATGGTATCTAGTCCCCTTCTGAGTCAGCAGCCCAAGCAGCTGACTTTCAAATGGCCAAACTCACTTGATTTTAATCTCAGAATTGAAAACCACAGACACAAGCTGTATTTTTAAAGAGCTGTATTGATCTCTCCTCACGCATAAGCAGGTAGTGACACTATAAAATATGAAAGATGATTGAAAGAAGTCGTACAGAAGTGAGTGTTGTTTGTAATGTAATTTCTCCCAACTTCACCGGTTCAATTTGTCCAGCTAGAGGAAGGGACTGAGGAATGTTGTGAACAAGTGAAAAAGAAATATCACTACTTTTTGTAGTCCATTTCCTTTTGGTATCAACCGACTTTTTACATTCTCTAAAGCTCTGTTGGCCATAAAAGACAGTTTATCTAAAAATAAAATATAGACAAAATGGGGCTAAGAGAGATGAGGGTGGTGAGGAATTCACAGGGTTCCCTTCCATAGGCATTTTTGGCTCAGTCTTAACTGTATTTTCCCTCTAGTCCAATACATAAGCAGGCATGGTGCAACGGAACAGGTTCAAAACTGTGATTCTGTCCTCCATTCTCAGGGAAAGACTTTGGTCTATAATCCATAGTGCTTTGTGTTCCAAAATTGCCCAGATACAGCTGGTAAGAAACTGTCAGAGATCGTATATTAAGCTGCAGCTTTATATTATATCAGAGGGCATGTGTCAGGCTTATAATTGCTAACACAGCTTACTCTTAAGAGAAGTTCCAATCTTCTAGCAAAATAACAGGGTACATATTAAATTAACGAGTCTAAAATTCAGATATAAACTGTGCCACAAGAAACCAGTGAGTAAAATCAGGCTGTCAATCTTAAAGCACCATCTTACCTCATGTTATTTATTCAAAAGTTACTTACTTATATAGACACATGAGGCCAGATCCTTAAGTTTAGCCTTTTTATACCGTGCATAGTGCAGGACATACAGTGAAAAAGTAATTTAGCTTTAAGCCACTAACTCTGTCTTCAGGATGCTGGGGTCATGATTTTGGTACCAATGTGTATCTTAAAAAAGACTCAGAGATGCTCTAATTTTAATTGCCGTAGCTACTTAGAGTCTTATGAGAGCTGTCAAAGCAGCTGGGAAATGATTCGACTCAGCATTCTGGGTATTCATCCTTTCCAGCTAGCCTTTCTCCTTTTGATGTAGGCCTAGGAAGAACAGAAATTGTAGGACTTTATGCCATTAAAATAAATTCTCCACTGAGTGAATCCATAGATAGTTGGTTAAATTATCTCTATGGCTGCAGAAAAAGCCACAAGCTGGCACAGACATACATTTCCTTAGGGCAGAAAAAATAATTTTTATGGAATACAATTTCTCTGCATCCTAAGATTGATTGCCATGAATCTGAACACTGCAACCATAATACAAATACATTAGGAAACCAGTCTTTCAAGAGGTTGTGACTGGGCTTTTTTTCTTCTGTACCAAATAAGTAGCTTTTAAGGAAGCAAATTAAGTGGTAGAAAATGGATAGTAAGATGTTCATTGCTTATTTTAAATACTACAAGGTGAAGGAAATATCAAATGTGATACAAAAGATGACTAAAGAGATGACTAATAGGGAGAAGTTGAAGCAGGAAAACAGAATATTAGTAAAATGGGAGCTGTAATTAAAAAGTATTGTGGTATACCTGAAGCTTTCTATTTTTGTAATGTTCACTTCCAAGTGAGTTTACTGGTTTATTTATTTTTTTATGTCCCACTGACTCTCACTGTGGGCTTTCCAACCATACGAAATAATTCTCCTGTGAGCCTATATTCAATTCAGTGGAGCTACTGTGATGCTGTGTCCAGGGAGACTGAAATCACACCAGGTTGGCTCAGAACATTGTCACACTAATATTGTATGCAATTGTTACGTAGTTCATCAAAAAGTTATTCCTTTTCTTGGTTTGCAACTCATTAGTTACATGCCAACAGTTGGACAAATGTATACCATTTTAAATTAAATACACTTTCATACGGACAGCAACAGTTCCAGTCGGGAGAAATGTTTAAACAATTTACAGCTTGTTACAGACTATAGGATTTATTAGAGAACACAGTCATCTCCCGGATGGAGTGCTGGTCTTAAGGCACTTAAAAGTAGCCTGGACACAAAACTGCAAAGTGCTTTCTTCACTGGTAAATGACAGCCTTTCTGGCTCTAATTTCTAATTTCTAATTCTCTAGTTTACTGTGGTGTAAATCAAACTTGAATCACAGTAATGTCTTGGCACTCTGATACACTGCCTTAAAACTACATGAATGCTGAAGTAGGGATTTCTTGTACATTTGCAGAGGTACAAGATTTTGATTCCTTTTTTCCCCAGCCTTTTATTCTTTTTTTTTTTTTTTTAAGACAACACTGGAATCACAGTACACTTTTCTATTCTCCTAATCAGATTTAAATCTCTTTAATCAATCAGCTAGATTACAGAGCTCTGATAGGCGGCATGGCTTTTTAGAGAAAGCCAAACTGAAGGAGCTGCTGCACATATCCTGGTTCCCAGGCTCCTTGCCAGCAGCAGGGTGTGACGTAATAGCCTTTCACGCTGAACAAGTTAACAGCCCTGGTT